ATGAGCCGCTAAAACTAGTCAAGCACTTTTCTTGAATCATAGTAAAATAGAAAAATAATAAGTTTTGTACCAATCACATCACACATCAACAACCTATAAGCCAATACACTGGTGACCAAAGGCCTCTTTTCATATAGAGATGGTTTAAGAATTAATACGTTTGCTCAATGCGGGTTGGCGATTTGAAACTTAAAATTAGAAATTATAGAGTTTATAATTTTAGGGTTTATAGGTTTCTCCACTATATTTTCCTTCGCCGTTTGTCAATAGTGTCTAAATATGGAAATTATCTTAGAAAGTACATATAACTGGGGAAAATTGACATTGGCACCATTTCGAACCCGCATTCTCATGCATAAATAGCGAACCCCTCAACCTTAGGGCCACTACGAAATTAATTATACAATTATTACGAAAACATGTCACTTTTGTAAACTCGATGTGCAGTATTTATCGCCAGGTAGTGTAATACATACAGTTCGGTAACTTCTCCAATATTCAGAGATACTTCGTGACATTTAAAAGCGTGGCTTAATCTGATTCCGTAGCGAGTTGGCTGGGATCACTACGGTGACTATGTGCCGACTTGTATTACATTGCTTCATTTGTTTTGAATTGTAATCAATAATAATTGTAATTTTGTTAAGCATTGCCATTCAACGTGGTAATGCTGCCAGTCTTTTGGGCACCCTATCTCACGATAATGATGAGGAAAATTTCTTTTTTGATGCCTTATTATAGCTTATTTTTTTTAAGGTGTAAATATTTTAGTTCATAGTTATTTATATTTTAAATTGTAATCTGATAATTACTATTAGTTATTTATTTGTTTTTTTTGCATATTACAAGCCAATTTTTCGCTGATTCTGTATTTAACACAAAGGTTGACTGGGAGAAAATGCCATATGGCAGTAAGTCCGCCTTATGCCTTATTTTGTGTGCATTAAAGTGTTAATAAATAAATAAAGAATTATGTGAAGGGAACTTTTTGTTTGCTGCAGTGGTATTTGGTAAAGAAGTATGGTTTGGTGTTTCATGGTCATTGTCAGAAGGGTTATACAAAAATGCATTTATATACGTCCACTTCCAGCTAGTACAATTCTAATTATAAGATTTGCTGCTTTTCATCATCGACGAAAAGACGTCCATAGCTGAACAAATGATGCCTTTTTTTTAATTGGGGAAAATCATCGAATTACTTCTCCCGCCTGGGTGAGGCGGTAGGGAGTGTCAGACTCTTACTGACTAAAAACCACCCCGTTCCTTCTCCTGCACGTCGAGCCGGAGCCCCGGTTACCAGTTAGGTTCTCCGCGACAAACCAGATCAAAATTAAACACAAAACCTTCTAGCTAAAAATTGTACATACGACCAAAGTTAAATACAGACAGACTGCATGCATATCCATCCAAAAGACAGCAATTTAGTTAGTGTAAGCTGTGGTCAGTCATAAACTGACCTCCAGCCAGTTGGCTTGCATGCTCTATCTCAAGAGGCAGGCGAATTTATTAGCCACGGCACACGATTTATTGGCAGAGTAATTGACGAGGCTTGCAGGGAGGTTTATTTTCAAGGAGGATACATTGTCTTGGTGTTTACTTATAAACGTGGACATTTTAAGACATTATTCCTTTTCCTTTCTTTTTTTTAAAAAAACATTGCCCCACATCAAGATTTTCTCCTGTGTCGTGGGTGCGTTTACAAACATACAAGTTTACATACACATGACACCCAGACCCGGAACAACAATCTGTGGATTACAAAAAGAGTTGCTCCGTGTTTGAATCGAGCCCAGCTACTGCACCAATCGTGTAGTCAAGTATTAATGTAAGTAAAATGTTATTTAAAGAAAGATATTTGTGTCATGGAAAAAAATACTGGTTGAAATCAGTTTGGACTTTTTTTTTAAGGGGGAAAATCATCGAATGACTGCTCCCGCCTGGGTGAGGCGGGAGGGAGTGTCAGACTCTTATTGACTAAAAACCACCCCGTTCCTTCTCCTGCACGTCGAGCCGTAGCCCCGGTAACCCGTTAGGTACTCCGCGACTCCGAATCGGCATCATCCCAAATCAGTTTGGACTTGGGTCATGCAAAAGTGAAAACTGGTTTGAATCAGTTTGAACCTTCCAGAGATAAGTATTTTGTCATGTTATCATTTTGGTATTATCACTATTATCAGTCTTTTCGTGGGTAAGGATTGGCTATTGATGTACACGCATGCCATAGTCAAAAATACACCGGAGAAGCTTATCGATTACCTAATATGTAGCTGTGTTTTGATTTCCAGAAAGTAAACTTACCTATATGAAGAATTTTTACCCAACTTTAGACTGGTTTCACAAGTCAAGACTCGAATGCAAATTGAGCAAGTGTGGTGATGCTCAAACTTTTAAAGACCTTTGGTCACCACTGGTCACTTAATGTAAAACATATGATTGTAAAACATACATAGCATTACGCCTTTTATCCCTGAAGGAGTAGGCAGAGGTGTACATTATGACACTGTACAATGTAACACCCAGTTTTCACTATTTATGTTATGAGTCCCATGTAATAGGGGGTGAACCTATTGCCATATACCGGGCACATTTCCAGACTCTGTGCTACTAATGAGATTTTTTTATAAACCCAGTAACACTTTGCCCGACCCGGGAATCGAACCCGAGACCCATGCTCGGCAGTCAACGAGGCAGTCAAGTGATTGTAAAACATATTATTGTTTTTTAGAAGAGTAACGAATAGAGTTTCTTGCTCGTTCTTTTCCATTCGAATCTACATTTTGGAATGAACACTAGCTTCACTGACGGACAGACTAACAGACAATTATTTATTTTGTATTTGTTGACGTTTCAAAAGTACCAAATTATGGTTTAACTCGTCGATTACCGGTTTTGTAGACACAATTATAAAACAATAGGTTGCGGTCACCGGTGACCGCTTGGTGTTTGACAGTTTAATTGAAATAAATGATATGACTTTGACTTTGACTACATAGGCCGTTTATGATGATGATTATGACGATGATAGTAACCCGTAGCATAAGCAGAAAAAACATGCACATATTTCAGAACAATGCATACAAACGAACACACAAACAATATCAGTCTAACATTGTAATGTTCGTGCGAAAAATCTACACATAGCACTAACCACAGTTCTGATTTCCCGAGGGCGCACCAAAATTCCCCGTTACATTAGCCACCACTTGAAATAATAATGGCCATACATTTTAGCCGAATTACTTTTACAAGTTCTAAACGCAATGAATTTTCGGAATGTGCTTTTGTTATGTGATAGAATTATGAACTTATGTTTTAGTTAAGAAACCCTTGTTCTGAAGGTCTACTACTTGTTATACCTAGATATTGGATATGTTATACCTAGGGTTGGACATGTAGAAAGGATGGATGAAAGTAGAGTAAGGAAAGAAGTATACAGAGCGGATATGAATGGTGCCGTCGGTAGTGGGCGCCCTAGACGGACATATCTATAGTGACCAGATTGGCGATATATTAAAGAAGGGCCAAATTAAAAGTACCCTTAACCGATGAGCATGCATGGATAGATTAATGACTGTTAATGTAGCGAAAGAGGTGTGTAAGAATCGTAGTAATTGGCGTTCCTTAGTCTCTGCCTACCCCCATGGGAGACAGGCGTGAAGTTATGTATGTATGTATGTATACCTAGATAATTCCTAACTGGAAAGTTTAATAAATGATAATAATGACTCATAACTTTTGGCCATGAAACGCTATCAAGATCACTTTTGACCAACGGTAACTGATGCCAACAACAGTTTTCTTTGGCAGTCAAATACCTAAGTAATCTTTTTTACAATGTCCCCCCTTGCAATGTAAGATTATCCCATTTTTCCATACGACACGATATGCAACAGCCGGGTGCCCAATCACTAATTTATTTTTTTAAAAAAAAACGTTGCCCCTCACTAGGATTTTCTCCTGTGTCGTGGGTGCGTTTACAAACATAGAATATCACATACACATTACACCCAGACCCGGAACAACAGTCTGTAGATCACACAAAGTGTTGTTCCGTGCGGGAATCGAACCCGCGACACGTTGCGCGGCAGCCAGTTGCCCAGTCACCGCGCCAACCATGCAGTCTATATCTTCACTTCTGAACAATGAGGTTGAATGCTTATCAAATAGTTTCCAGCTACCTGGAATCCAGACTCTAAAAAACTATGAACAACATAGCTCTCAAACCTTCTAAAACTAATTGTAATCGCTACTACCAAATACAATGCAGTATCTATGAACGAAGCCCGAACTAAATGAACGGAACAAGTTGTTCGTTATGCAAAGCTGACAAGTTATTAGCAACTTTTGTTCGTATTCGTATGAGTTCAAACGTTCAAATTGAAGTGAAAATAGTTTTACTGTAATGTGAAATTGTCTGCTATTGATTTTGTGGACTGCAGAAATTATTAATGATTTCAGGCGAATGAATTATTAAATCTGATCTTCATTAGTTTGGATTATTTTTATTGACACGTTACTGTGACCTTCGGCTTCTGGGCTTCGATTTCTGGATCGAAAAATGTATGTAATATTTGCTTGATTTTGATTGGTTTCCAAATACCAAAATAAAACGTCTGTTTCAAGCAGACATCTGTAAGCATTTTGTCTACCCTTACCACAGTAAAAAAAAATATCCATGTACTAGCTACATTTATTGTTATGCAGACAGTTACTAACGACTCTGAATTCGTTTTGGAAAATCTTCCTAGAATATTATCATGAAAAACACATCTATAAAACATTACCAAGAAACTGAACTAAACTAGTAAACACCGCTGTGCCATGAATAATGTTATAGTACTTAAGTTCAGCGCTTTGATATCTGTTGGTGAAACACTACTTTTAATTTATCACATAGAAGGTCTATTACATTAATTAAAGGCACTGCTATCTATGAAACTTGTCGCAACACTCCAGACGTAAAGCAAAACGTAGTCTATTCATAAATAAATAGGTCACAATTTCAATAAGCAAGCGTATAATGGAGTAGTTCAAGGAAACATAAATGAATACATGAAATATTTATCAACAATATAACAAATGGATTTGTGTTAATGTCTCTCTAGAATTGTTCCACTCTGTTGATCATGACACCGATCTTCTCAATCTCACTGACGATTACGTCACCAGGTCGGAGGAATTCTGGAGGGTTCCTGTACACTCCTACCCCTCCTGGGGTACCCGTGAGGATGATATCACCAGGTAACAAAGTGAAGACGTTGGACAATCTTGCAATAATATCAGGTATCTTGTGAATGAATTGGTTTGTGTTGCTCTTCTGTTTCTGAACGCCGTTGACAATGCAGCGTATGCCTAAAGCTTGGGGGTCTCCAATCTCATCACTGGTAGTGATGCAGGGACCAATTGGACAGAATGTATCCATAGCTTTCCCAAGGACCAATTGTCCCATACTCTTATTCTTCTCCCAGTCAGAAGCTCCAATGTCTTGAGCAATAGTGTATCCTAAAACGTAATTATAAGCATCTTCTGCCTTCACTTTAGAAGCTGTTTTTCCGATAACAATTGTCAATTCCACTTCACAAACGACCTTCTCCGAGATGTCTGGTTTCAAACGGATAGATGAATTGGGTCCAACGATAGTGCTCGGGAATTTGTTGAAGATAAATGGAAGTTCTGGTGGTGTCAAGTTTTGTTCTTCGCAATGGTCCTGGTAGTTCAGTCCGACGCATAAGACTTTATCTATTCCATGAATAGGAGCCTTGAGAGTCACATTTGCTATCGGAACAGTTTCCTGTTCAGATGCATGCAGTTTCTTCACCTTATCAATGGCTTGACTTTTCAAAATCTCGATAAGAGTGTTAGGAATGGTCGGATCAATTTTGTTAATGTCAACTACATCTTCGCCAGCCAGAAAACCGACACGTATTTCCTCTGGTTTATTGTTGTAAACAAATTGTACTAGCCTCATTTTTTCCTATGATTCACCGCACTAAATGTTAGAGAATTCCCTTGGTTCTAATAAAAATGTCACTTGGATTAAATAAAATGTTTTGAACACTGAGATAAATTGTTGCTTTCTTTTCCAGCTCTTGTTTAGCAACAAGTGGCGATAGTACTGTCGTCTAGTTAAGATAAACGTACTGTTTTATACGCAATCTCTGGAGTGTTATCTACGATCTTACTCTCGAGTGGAAATATCAGTTGATAGCGTCTAGTTTGATGAATTTACGTATACGCAAACAAAAGGGAATTGTTATGTAAAGTTGTCACGATGCGATAAAAGAATGCAATTTTATTAAGAGGTAAATTACTCTGTATTTTTTACACATCAATCAAATCAAAGTGATATTATCCTTCCAAAAATAAATGAAATGTCCTAAAACTTCATTCAAACTATGATCTGTGTACCGAGTATAATCATTTAGGTAAGTATTTTTTGAAACTCAAAATTCCACCTCCATCATCACATAATTTCACGTTAAACCTTGATGGATACACAGACAATACGAAACTACGATTCATAATTACGTTCATAAGATGTTGAATAATTTATAGGAGTTAGCACAAAAAGAATTCTTACACAAGCATTCTTAGATCAAAGTAAAATTATTCGTTTTCTTAGAAGATGTTGAAGGTAGAAATAGTGAAATTACCTTTTATCATAATACGATTCTTGGGGAGAAAGCAAACGTCTTATAATTTAATAATCCTGTGAATAATTCAATACTTATCCTCGTTTAAATAATACTAAGTCTGCTGTAATATCGTTTAAATAGAAACTGTTCTCGTGTTTTCTGGGAATATTAGAGTAATTAGATATTTTGCTTGGAACGCTTCTGATGAGACGCGAAGGTTTGATAAATGAGTCGGATTAACGTGTTTCGTAGGTGACGTTCACTTCTTTTATGTTTGTGAACCTTATGTAATATTAAGACTAAGATATATAATGGTACAATCCTAATTTCGTCGAAAATGTTACTGTAAGCTAAGCGATTGGGCTCGCAGCGGTAAGTCCCCTCTCTTTGAGAAGTGGCTCGAGAGACGCTACGGCGTCCTCACCTACCGCCTGAATTATTATTAGGCGGGAGAAGTAATTCGATGATTTTCCCCCTTAAAAAAACTAAATGATGATTTTGAGTAACTACCTGCATGTGAGTATTTGCAACTATCGACAAGCTCGTGGTCGCAAGCGAGACTAACCATCGGCTGACCACCGTGGCCTCTATATAAGGTGGAAGTTAGAATCGGGTAGGTTTCATTTCAAAAGAGTCTAACTAATACACCCCATTTAAGTACCGTCACTATGGACACAATTAAAAAACAATAGGTGTACGGACACCGGTGTCCTCGCGGTGTTTGACAGTTTAATGAAGTTATTCTACCATCATGGACCTTACCTATTTACCTATTACCAAAAGCTTAATCAGCTAAAAGAGCCCTTCAGCTAAATATAATTATTCCCTAACCTCTATACAAACTAGGACAGATACAGTATAAACTGAAACCAGTAATTATTGACGAATGTAAAATAATTACATTGAGTTAGTAGTTCGATATGAGTTATGCATCAATCCATCTTGTTATGAACTAATTTATTATCTGGTTTGGGATACAATGCCATCATATTATATTCGCTAGTGATAGCTATGAGTTAGAGATGACAAGGATAGCATACTTTTATTACAACCACAACTCTAGTCGCGGGTATCCTTAGAACCGGCTGAGGAACTACATATTTGACGAAATGCTGGTAGCAGCACTCTCTGATAATCCTTAATCTTTCAAACTGCTATGTTCAACTGGGTTGCTAAGCGTAGAGATGATGACAAATCCTCTATGTAAGTCCAGTCTAAGAAGGTCCAGGAGTGGACCTTCTGGTGTCATGCATCATCATAATTTGCAAAATCTAAAATGTTTGTGATATGAATATACACATCTAACCAAATCTATTTTACAAACATAAATATTTGTGATGTGATTTGGCTTTTTTTTTTAAGGGGGGTAAATCATCGAATGACTGCTCCCGCCTGTGTGAGGCGGGAGGGAGTGTCAGACTCTTACTGACTAAAAACCACCCCGTTCCTTCTCCTGCACGTCAAGCCGGAGCCCAGGTTACCCGTTCTCCGCGACTCCGAATCGGTATCGGCCCTGTTGGGCCCCATCTGTAGTGGTCTGATGGCTCTTTGAGGCGCGCGCGGAACGCGACGCGCCGTATGCTCGGGTCTGTTTCTGGTCGGACGGGGAGCCACCCATGCTCGCCGTCCGCAGGCCCGCGCTTACGGTGGCCGGAGATCGTCCCGCGATCCCCGACACCCGGTGTGTCCTTCGCGATGGCTGGGTTGCGAGGAGGCAGCGCTTCGCTGCCTCACGCGTCCCGCCTCCTCCTTAGCTAG